GAAGAACAACAGACTAAGGGATGCAGTGAGGGACAAAGAAGCTGTAGATGAGCATGTGTGGGCCAGTGAGGCACAGCCTCCTTGAGACGGAGCGGGGAGGCTCAGCCCTACCTCCCAGTACCCCTGTTCAAGGGCTGCCATTTTTCTTGTCTCAACTTCCCATGAGTGGGGCAGAGCACAAGGAATCAAATCCAACTCCTTCCATAAACATGAGTAGAAAATGTAATGTCTCTGCATAAACAAAATGCATCTTGCAAATTGCCTCATCTCTCCACACGCCCCAAAGCATCGGCTCTCATTTCTCAGGCTCTAGTTTATGCATGCACTGCAGGCCCCCGGGGGACTGAGGCCTTGAGGAAGAGGCCGAGTCTAAAAAGGACTTAGGGACGTTTGGAACTACCCACTCTCAGGACCGCTACTGTGGTTCACTGAGTTCTTCAAAGCATTTGTTTAGCCACTCAGTATTTATTCTGTCATGAACAGAAGTGGTAAAACTTATCATGCCCTTGTACCTCCCAACCCTGAGTCCTTTGTAGCCAGATCTTCAGCTAACTAATAACCAGTAACGTTAGTGCTCTTTGGGCCACCCAAACATCCCTGATACCCATGTGGCCAAAGTATGTCACTTATTAGCCAGGCAACATAAGAACAAAACAGGACAACCCCCAACACAACCCAAACAATCCTTATGACCTTCCAGATGACCACAGGCAAGGAAATAACTTGTGAACAATCTTAATTTGCTCTTGTATTATTTCCTACAGGAAAGAGCAGGCATTCCCCCAAGGTAATGAGCACCGAGTGCCCTGGCGAAGTTCACAGTGGCCTGGGTCTCCACTGAGATGGTACAGAAGGTTTCACCAAATAGGTTCCTGGGACAAGAGCCTCCAACATCCTACCCTTGACACTGAAGCCTACCTGGACAAGGGAGAATGAGTGTAGGGGGGCTACTGGGCTCCAGGTGACACCAGGTTAGCTCAGAGGAGGCGTCCTTTCTTGAAGTGGGAGCTGCTGTAAAGGTGACCCCTTTCTACAAAACACACGAGTTGTTGGAACTTCATCCATTCCATCTTAATAACTTATATTATGCATATGTAAAGCCTGTTAGGTACAAACATTTTGTGGAGAATCTTTTCATTCAGTCACCAATTTCTTGATAAGGACATCACCACTTCAAAATTTTATTTAATATTCTCTACACTGCGTTTTAAAGCTTCTACTGATGTCCTACACTAACATGAAGCGGTGTTTGGGGGATGGTCTCTCCGGTCTGGGTTTAGTTATCCATCACCTTGGCCTTTCAGAGTCTTCTCAGCCAGCTGTGCTGAGCAGTCTGGTTTCTTGGGGTTACAGTATAAGACCAAAGCATAAAACCACTGCGGAAGTGAGAAAGGGGGAGGGGAATATGCATAGAAATCCTGTGCACCTGCCTTACCCTGTGCCCACGGACTGCACGCTCCCAAGCAAGTTGACTGATCTGATCAGTATATGGCAGGGCAATTGGCCAGGAGCTTGCTGGGTCAGGTGTGGCTAGAGAGGGGATAAAAGTGCTTAAATAGAAGAATCACCTCAGTGACATGCAGGACTTGGGTTCCACTAAGAACACTCAGATTGAAGTGTGTGTGCACGTCTCTATATGTATATATGTGTGTGTGATGTGTGCACACGGATGTGTGTTTGCATGTTCCAGTGCACAAGGGAGCAGTGGTAAGAACCATCTTAGGTAACAGCTCCTCTCTCTCTGGAGAAAATCTGAATTCAAAGTGATTTTTAACAAATCCTTTCACTGTGCCTGAAGGCAAGTATAGCTATAACAAAATAAAAAAAGAGATATGAATACAGAAGGAAAAAAAAAAGTATGTATAGGTAATATGAGGGACAGGAGAAAAACAGCAATACTTACCCTACAACCACAATGATAAAATCTAGTAAGTTCCAACCATTGCGGAGGTAAGCATTGGGGTGAAAAAGAAGTCCATAGGCGATAACTTTTAAAAATGCTTCCACAGTAAAAATTATGAGAAAGAGATATTCCACTCGTTCCTAGGAAACAAAAATAGGAAAGAAAGAAAAACAAATTGTTAGGTTAGGGATTTGGAAAATTCTGAATTAGCAGATCTCACAAGGATAGTCATGCACCCCATAACAACAACTTTTCCACCATTAGAGCTCAGTCTACTAGGATATATATATATATATGTGTGTGTGTGTGTGTGTGTATGTGTGCACGTGCATGTGTGTATCTCCACATATATATAATGTCTTTTCAAAGACATATGTATACAAATATATGCATGTGTATGTCATCAAAGGTCACCTGTTAAAATATTAGGGAGGTGAAATTATTCACATTTTTAAGGAAAAGCCTCATTTAACTAGTTAACATTTTATTGCACCTTCTTAGAAAAGAATTCATAATGTCTCGATCTACTGGGAATCAATGTAAAGACAGAGAAGACGTGGAGAAAGTGGGTGAAGCAGGAAAATTGTAGAAAGTGGGTGAAGCAGGAAAATTGTGCCAGAATTCAGCAGCCACTAACCCCAGACCTGGTTCTGGGAAGGGCACTAGCTGAGTTCTCTGAAATAACAGAGTAAAGCCACAACCGCGAAGAAATCAAGACATTGAAGAACTCTTCATAGCACCCAAAACAGGCAACCTGCTCACACACAGGCCTAGACAACTGAAATCTCTTTCCTGAGAAAATAAAACTCTCTCCAAAGACACAGGCCAGTTCAGCAGAGAAAACCAGTAGTCTGAGGATGGGGCCAGCACTGGGCAGGCTTAGATGAGAAAGCCAGTTCTTTTCTCCCACTGCTAAGAGAAAGGCTTTGTGTTTAAGGATGCAGCGCTGTCCCTGGGAGGCCAAGACAGACTCTTTGCTCAATTAGAGCAAGCCGACTCCCCATGCTGATTCACCGCTTCCCTCCCCACTAATTGCTTTCCTCTCCTACCCCTAGTGCACAGCCTTAATGGCCTAACCAGGGAAGGCTGCCTGCTCCTCTTCATGCTCCACTGATGCCCTCTGCAGGGGCTTCAGCTGTCTCCCCGGGGAGCCCCAGAACACCCATCTGCACTGCATTCAGGTGCAGGTACTCCAAAGCATGGCAGGCTCCTCACACCCCTAGAAGGCACTCAGTGCAGAACCCTTCAACCCTCCAATCCTCCTCCCCCAGTCCACCCTCATCTCAGAGAGGGAAGAGAGAAGTCCCACCTCCTCCTGCCCAGCTTGCTGGGAGTGTGCCCCAGCCCGGGGTATTGGGAGCCCAACAGGGTGGTTCTGCAGGACGGGCACCCTGTGCCCCACCCCTGGATGTGCAGTGAGTACTGGCCTCACTGTGCCCAGCTCCAGCTGAAGCAGTTTGAGGAAAAAACTGCAGAATTATGGGCTGTACCAAGAACTCCTGCAGTGTGCATTACAGACAATTCCAGGTGTGTGAGAGGCACCTGGACATTTAAGAACCACTGGCACACATATTTAATAAAGGCCCAGATCTAATCAGCATCTCAGAGATAGACACATCCTTTACTTCCTACCCATTTTAGTAACATAAAATTGGTTTGGGGTTGTGGCTGCTTTGGGACTGTGACTTAGGAAAAGTCCACACTGTGGGGGGCATCAACTTTTTCAAATTAGGCAATGTAGGTTTAGAATGTATCAGGACAGTGATAAAAAGGAAGGCATGTTACAAAAGGCCTGATGTAACCCGAGGACCTCACGGAAGGAGGAACTGTTCAACACTCAGTCCCAGGCCCCTCACACCACCCCCATGACACTTCAGAAATTTCATATTTAGCACCAAATAACGGGTACCCGTATGTACCCCCAGAAACCAAACACAAGTTGGTTGCCACTAGGTGCCAGATGCTTTCATGCATTCACGTGCTTTTTTACACTTTTCTTCACTTGCCCATGTATGCCTGCATCCATCCATTTATCCATCCATCTGTCCATCCATCCTCTCAAACATCCATGACTAAAGTTGTAAAAGCAGGTACAGTGTCAGAACCCGAACCTGGAGTTCCCTCTGGGCTGTCTAGACAATGAACTTTCTGGAGACAGATACTAATCTCAAAATCTCTTCTTCCCTTATAGGGAGAACAGCCACGTCTCAAAGGCTCTGAGGACCCTGTATGCTGGGAAGCTGGCATTCCCAGGCAGCCTCTCATAAGCAGTTGGCATCCCCAATCCAGACTGCCTGGCACCAAGCAGTCTGTTTATTTCCTCATCCACAAGATCACTTTCCCTTGCTTAATTTGCCTATAAAAAATGAGGGCCATGGGGACAGTAGAATCTCCCTTGGGATGCAGACTCTTGGGCTTAGCAGTATCCTGGACTTGACACACCACTTTGTGGGATGGAGGACTGGGGAACTTGTGACTTTTCTTATTGAGCTTTGGCTTATATAACTTTTCCCAGTAAAGCTTATTCCTTACTCCATGCCACATGATATGTGTTCCAAACACTGGCACATAACACAGAGATGCAGAAGGACCTCCTTAAAGACCACCTTAGCCACACATTCAATCACTCACAGACATTCTTGCATGTGCTGGGTGCTGGAGCTTTGGGAAAAGGGCTCAGAAAAGGATCCCCAAGATCTCCTAGTACATGAGTGGTGACGGGAAGGGTGCAAAGGGTCAGATGATTCCAGTACAATGGGTGAGTGGTATTCAGGAGATAAGCATGGTTGGCTAAGAAAGGCTTTTAGAGTAAGGGCATTTGATTGAATCTCAGAGGAGAAAGAATTTTCCAGGACAGGAGGTTAGGGGATGGCAGAATTTGGGCACAGGCCAGGCATCCAGGTGGAGGGAGAACTGATGAGACAGTGAAGCCACATATTTGCTTTGGCTGGAGCAAAGGGCATTGAGGGAACAGGCCGGGGGGGGGGGGGGACAGGCTCAAGATCGCCAGAGGCTCTGTGGTCACCTGGAGGCTTGGGTTCCATTCCAAGGAGACTGGGAAAGACTGCACTAGAGGTACGCTGGCTGGAGAATGAGGATGGCGGTGAGAAGTGACCTGGAGTGATGTCGCAGAGGCACGAGCCAAGGTAGTGGCAGTGGGACTGGGACTGGTGAGACACAGGTGGATTTGAAAGACAATAAGTATCTACTTTGGTCTCTCCTTGCACATGGCGCTGAGGGAACAGGCAATGGGAGAGAAGAGGCACACTTCCTGACCTTCCTTGGGGTTTCTAGTTTGTGTGACCATGTGGATGGTGATGACTCGTGCTGAAGAGGGACCTTTAGCAAGAGGGGATTGGGAAGAAGATGGACACAGCAGTAATGGGACCTGCTGAATCGGAGATACTCCAATACTGGCCACGAGATGCCAGAGTCAGGGCTCAGGGCAGTTTGGGTGATAGGGCAAGGCCAAATGAGAATGCCCTGGGAAAGCATGCTGACTAAGGAGAAGAGCTGAGCCTGGCTCCCACCCAGCAAAGAACAACTGCTACCCAGCTGCAACTGAATGGCCAGCCCACCGGCAACCTCATCCTGGAGAAAGTCCCTCCACAGCAAGAGAATTTATCTGCAGGTAGAAGTTACAGGACCTGGTTTGAAATCATGGAGTCTGGGTGATAAAAGGAATCTCACAGGTTTTCTAATTACCCTGCTCACCTGAAAACTAGGATACGATAAGATACTGAGGCCAAAGAGACACATGATAAGAACAGGAAACTAGACCTCCTGACCTTCAGTCCAAAGTTCCCTTCAGCCTGTCTTGCCTCCTGGGTAGAGAGATACCTCTTTCACTGGCCCCTGTTGATTCCCAAACACCTGGCAGGGTTTAGACTGTCCACATTAAGTTGCTAAGGGATCTGACATAGAGCTCCTGTGGTCCAGGAGTCAGTAAGAAGGCATGTGGACAAGAATTTAGAGAAGGAGAACCCCATGGGATGCACCAGGAGCACAGTGACTGGACAAGAGGGCGCTATCAGGAAAACACACCAAAACTGAGAATTCAGATGAGACATCAGCTCAAATGGAGACTTCAGACTCAAAAAAATGTGGGAAGACTGTAACAAACTATTGATGGAGGAAGTTGGAGCCAGAGGGCTGGCTAGAGAAAGGTACAGATGTGAAGTTCGGCACTGAGGATCTCACGGCACAGCTCAAGCAGATAGCATGCTGGGATCGTGTTCAAGACTACCAGGCTTGGAACTCCCTTAGAGCAGTGGAGCTGGAGGGTGAAGCCCTCTTCTATCACAGTAACTGCAAAGAGCCAGGCATCACAGCACTTATGAAGACTGTGAAAGAGGCTTACACAGATCACACACAATTTGAGAAAAACAATCCCCACTGTGACCCATTCAGCAAAGAGGTCAACCCCAAACAGTTCGTGATGGATGTACAGTTTGTTCAGATAATGAAGCATTTAATCTCCCTGGTTGAACTTAAAACCTATCACCAAGCTCACAAAGCTACTGGTGGTCCCTTAAAACACATGGCGCTCTTCACTCGCCAGAGATTCTCAATTCAGCTCCTTACCCAAGAAATATTTAATTTTATTTTAAGCCTAGAAGAAAAAGAACCAAGGCAACTGAAGCTCTACTGGTGGAATGGACAAGACATTACTCCAAAGAAGGCAAGCTTTCATAAAGTAGAAGAAGTCATGGAAAGGCTTGCTTGTAATGTCACCTGGGACTATGTACATGGGTGGTTTTGTGTACCTTTTCCGATGCAAGATATAATTTAAAAAAAATTCAGAGAAGGGGCAGCTGCCTATCATTGACAAGTCTGGACCCAGCCACCAGGCACCTTGTGACTGCTGGAGTATGCTGACTGAATGTTGCAAAGGGGAGGGTCACTTACTCTTACTCATTCTGTAAGAGCATGGGAGCTCTTACAGAATTACCTAAAAAGTTAAAAAAAAAGGACAATTCAAACAGTGTGGTCAATTCTGTCACAGCATGAATTGTACTGCTATAGAACATCCAAGGTTGAATGAGCATAGGGCAGAGAGCAGCAAGTTCAGACTGGTATTGCCAGCGTCATGCCGCTAGTCCTGTGAACCCATAGTCCTTTACAGCCCTCCTTGACTTGAGTGTCTGTCTTCTAGGTATTTATAATGCAGTTGGAAAGGTAGCACATGTACCCATTGGAAGGCTGACAGGAAACTAAGACAGTCAAGCTCATCAGGTACGTAGACAGCATCATAATTCCAAAGTCTCTCCACTCAACTCTGATAAATATTTCAAACAAGTGCTGGATGTCCTCCTGAGTTCCAAGCAGTCAGAGAGCTCATTGGGAAGGCACCCAACGATCAGCAGTCTATGATCGTGGGAATGGAGAAACTGTGGAATCCAAACTAGAAGGGACTAAAATTCTGTGTTAAGGCTGGGAATGGTAGAGGAGATGTTAAAAACTGAAGAAAGAAAGCAAATCTTACAGACTCTGCACTGCAAATTGGCCAGAGTGGATTTCCCAGGGCATCTGGAGGACCCCACTCCTCTGATAATGGGGGATCCCCACCTGCCTGGCAGATTGGCTTCTCTCTTCTTCCTAACACTTTCTCTTCCAACACAATACTATTTTTCTCCATTTTCTTGCTTCATATTGTCATCTTTTTCTATTTTTCTTTCCACTCATCTTGCTCATTTATTAGCTCCACCAGTTGCATCTGTGGGCCCCTGACTGCATCCATGTTTGAAATATTTATCAGAGTTGAGTGAAGAGAGAGCCATAGTTTTTGGGAATTATGATGTCTCCTTAGTACCTGAGGAGCTCAACTGTTTTAGTTTCCTATGAACCTTCTCATGTATACATGTGCTACCCTTCCTACTGCATTATAAACAGCTAGAGGACAGACATTCAACAATGTTTTAGTAGGAATAATCATTGATCTTGTTTCTAGTACCACCTGGTTGTGTGTCTTTGGGCAAGTCTCTTGACTTCTCTAGGCCTATTTCCTCATATAAAATAGGACTTTAAAAACATATACAGTGCTGCAGAAAGCCCCAGGCTACCCTGAGAGCAGGTACAGGTAGGGGGAAGGCTGAGTGTGGAACTCTGCCATTCCACCTCCTCCTGAACTAGGGCGGCACCGTATTAATCCTGTGGACTGAGTTGTTTAGGGGTCCTGACCAAGTGTACTAGAGTCCAGGGAACCAATATTTTGAGATGTGGACAGAACATATAGCTCCCTATTACTGACTGATAAGGAAGACGTTTGTTAACTTCAAGTACTGGGTTCAGCATAAGATTACTGCTTTTGTGATTCTGTATTGTAACTTGGAATACCACTTCTAAAGTGCTGGATGACTTTCAAAATCACTCCAAAATCCTATGGTAAGTGAGGATGCTGATCCTTGGTTGGTATGAAGATCTGGCTAAGGCACCTCTAGATTCCAGGACATAGAATGGATCCAGCTAACAGCTCTTCTTCATTTCCTTGCCTTGTCATTCCAAGGATCACCATACGTACAAATAGCTATTACAATAAAAATAGCCATTTTTGACTTGATTATTAATATTTGGGCTTTAGGAGGAACGCAAACTCCTTGTGATCAGAAGCCATGCCAGTGTATATCTCCTAGGACATGTGCAATTACAGAGGGAATAAAATGTCTATTTGCGTGTGCATAGTTCTGCAGCATGGGTCACAAACTGTGAGATGCTCACCTTCCTGTGTGGAACACTACATAACTTAGATCTCCTGTGTAGCAGAACTTAGCTGTAAGAATTTCTACTGAAGGGTCCTGTGTGTACTTACCTCCTTTAATTTATATAAGTGTATTTATCAAAGCTGCTAAGAATTCCACACCAAACAGAATTGATGAGCAGCTCAGTTATACAGTTTCCTCTCAGTACAAGATACAAAGACAATGAACACAGTAATACTTCATGCAGCACTATGTAGCCATAACTTAAGTACCATTCAACCTGACATCAAAATACAGTCTCCCGTCTGTTCTCCAGCCAAGAAGCGGTAACACCTCTGCTCTTCACCCCCCAGTTCTTCTGTCATGCATTCATTCCATGCGTCACTAATACTTCCTGAGACTCTGCTTTGCCCAAGTCACCTTCCCACACCGGGCTCTGAGACACTGACAGACCTAGAGAATGTTTAAAGCTGGGACAGAAGGGTACACATTCCCCCTCCTTGTTGTACAGAAGAGATGGAGTGTCCAAGGCCCACATGTAGCCCCAGGGATGAGAACTGGGGTTCCTTGACAGTGGATGTGGTGTTTCTTCTCCTACAGGGTGGCTGTCCCTCTTTGTGGCCACTGTGCATAGCAGCAGCCACTGGGGAGAAAAGGGGCCACCCCCAAGATGTGGTGGGTGAGTGGGCAGCAGGAATCCCACACTAAAGTCTTTATTCCACCTTGGTCTCCACTAGTGTCTGAAATTCAGGGAAGAAGAAAGAAGAAAGAAGAAAGAAGAAAGAAGAAGAGGAAGAGGAAGAGGAAGCTATTTTTCACTCCACAAAGCAATGGATAAACAAAATGTAGAACACATGCATGACAGGATGCCTTGCAGCCTTAAAAAAGGACTGAAATGCTCATACATGGCACATCATGGAAGAGGCATATTAAGTGAAAGCCAGTCATAAAAGAACAAATATGCGTTCCACTTGCGTGAAGTACCTAGACTTGACAAGCAGAGAGTAGATTAGGGGCTGTCAGCACCAGTGGCTGGGAAGAGGGAGGAATGGGGAACTCCTGCTTAATAAGCACAGAGTTTTCGTTTGGGGCTATGGAAAACTTTGGAAATAGTGGTGATGGGTGCATAACATTGCAACTGTAATGAATGTTACTGAATAGCATACTTAGAATGTAGAATGGCACATTTTATTTTATTCATTTTACCATAATGAAAAAGAAGCATTCTTTGGTATTTTAAAGGTCTTCTCAATGCTTTACAGTTCTCCATTAAAATTCGTGGGGTCAGGTTTGAACCTATATTAGATGTATAACAGGGTGGATGCTTAGAAAGCTGAAAGCACTGTCTTCGGTGGTGGGACCCTGGGAAGATGCTGGGATCCCAACAGGGAAGAAGCAGGCTGGGCAGGGAGGTGGGTAATGTCAAAGACTTCGCCATAGAAACCTTGTTAAACAAGCGGGTGCCTGATGGTTCAGATGGTCCAGACAGATTCTACGCGGGATAAAGGGCCAGAACAATCACATAATGGCCTAAGATCAAGGCAGCTTTGCAAAAAATGATTTACCTACTTATTGAGCACAGTAGCAACTGCAGTTGGGTGAGTTGAGACGGTGCTAGTTTCACTGGTTTGTCAGTAGCTCAGTACACACACACACATACAACCACCCATCCACCCACCCATAGAGATCCATTTCTTTGTGCTTGCTCATGATGCTGAATCGAAGTGACTTCTTCACTTACCAATTTCCTGCACTTAAGTCTTTTTCCCTAGAGACCAGCTTGGCCTCAGCTGCCCCCGCTCCCAGGCACAGGTGCTCACTGCGTGGGCAGCCCAGACATCGGCGTATTGCTCTGCTGATTCCCTTGGGACTTTGCAGTTCCCTGCCCTGGCCCAGATACTCAACCTGTGCTGAACTTCCCCGGGCAGCTCCTGAGATGACAGGCCACTGCGCACTGTGGGGCCACATCCAATCTTGTGCAAACCCCTAAAAGGGCAGGTGTGGCAATTTTCTTCCTCTGTTTCGATTTGAAAATCAACATTTGCCACATTGCTGCTTGCATCACCTTCTTGGAGGGGAAAGAAAGCCTGAATGTCAGAGAAGACAGTCTCTTCTTTCTCCACTTGGCCTTCTCCATCCCAGCCCCCTTGTTCTCATGTGAGGCTGCCCTCCTATAATCAAGCATCTCTGTCTGTCAGAGAATGGCCACAGCTCTTTCCTCTCCAAGGTAAAAAAAAAAAAGAAATCTGTTTTCTTTGGGAGTAATGGAGTGGAGAGGGTGACAGATATTACCGATCATGGCTGAATTACTAGAAATGTTTTCTTTGGGAGTAATGGAGTGGAGAGGGTGACAGATATTACCGATCATGGCTGAATTACTCCTGGGGACCATGGGCATTTCCTTAGTGACCTGTGGGCTAGTAAGTAATTTTCCAATTGGAGGAAGGGTGATACAGTGGTGGCTTTAAACTTTCTACTACTTTCCTGCTTTCTTTTCAGCAGCTAGACCAACACCGGGTTCCAGGAAACAGGAGCATCTTTCTACCTCATCCCATGGCCCACTCATTCTGGCCCCACCATTGGTTGTTCAGGTATTAAGGCAGCTTCCTGGCTGGACATCTAGGTGGCTTTATTATTCAAAATTATTTGACCAAGCCCTTGCAGGGCAGAAGCAGGTGTATTTGTCGCTTTTGGTTAGGAGGTATTTTTTTTTTATTGTTTTTATTTTTTATTTTTCATTGAGTTTATTGGTACTTTTTAGGGATACAGTACAGTTACATTCATCATTGGGATCTTGTACCTTTACACAACAGGTCTTGGTTCTCATTTTTTCCCCATACCCCTGCCCTCCCTTCACCCCCTCCACCCCTCTCTATTTACAAAAACTTTATTTCCATTTTATCATTTTTTCATAATTTTTCTTTTCCCTTATTTCCTTTCCCCTACTCTTTCCACATGAGAGTTTTTTTTTTTTTTTTTTTTTTTTTTGGTACTGGGGATTGAACTCAGGTCTTTGCGCTTGTAATACAGGTGGCAGAACCACCGAGCTAAAACCCTGGCCCTTAAGAGGTATTTTTAATGAAAGGCAAAATGTTACAGAAAAGGGGTTCTGGAGTCATACACCTTGGACTGAACTTTTCCTGTGACAGGCTCTGTCATCTTTCTCAATTTTGGTTTCTTCCCCAGTGGAGTGGGAATAATTACACTTAACCTTGAGTGATTTTGAAAATTAGAAACCACACAGCATTGTGACTCCGATGGCAGCACTGTCACTGCTGTGGGCCTCACACCTGCCCCTGCCATAGCACATCTGTGTAGAGTGGGCATAGTGTCTCTGCCTTGTGCCTCTGTTACCCTCCCCAGAGGTCCTGATTCTGGTGCCCCCCATTGCCTTCTTTTGAGCCTCTTCATTTTGACAAATCCTAGAGACTTGAGGTTCCTCATTGGCTTTCTGCTGTCAAAGCCATTTTTTTTCCAGGACCATAATAGCCTTTATTATGGGGAGGGTCTGCTGGGCTGTCTCTGAACAAAGGAGAGAAAGCAATATGGCTGAGACATGGAGCGCTTCTTACAGGCCTGGGGTTGGGCTCATAGGAGCTGGGGTGGGATTGAGTGATGTAGTGAAAGCCATTTTTTTAAAAAAGCAATACCAAAAACTTGTCTGAATTCTATTTTCTGGGTTCCATGTGTTTCAAACATTCATGTTCACCTCCCTCCTTGGCCCTAGGATCTATAGGAATAGGTTCCAGTGACCAAGAGACCCAAGGCCCACGGCTACACACATTGTCTCCATGTCTTTGGGAACTGGCCAATCCAACATCTGCTGACATGATTTATTTCAGCTTTGGTGAGCGAAAGTGAAGGAGAAGTGTCAGTATTATTAGAAGCAAAATTTCCACGGATTTGGGTGGCTTCGCAACTATGTGTGATCACCACAGTGACAACTCACTGGGTAGAACTTGACAGTTTACAAGGTCCTTCTCTCAATCACGTTCATGTTGTGTCTCATGGCCCCCCATGAAGAAGGAAGGGCCAATATTTTTTCCCTCATTTTCCTACTCTTCCTTCCCCTCCTTTTTCCTCCTCCTCTCACCACTACCACCACTACTTCAGTAACACTGTTATTATCACTATTACTACCACAACTGCCACCACCACCACCACCCCTGTTACAGTTTAGATCTAAAATGTCCCCCAAAGTCTCATATGCTCAGAGATTAGGGTTTTGGGAGGTGATTGGATTGTGGAGCACTACACTCACCAGTGGTGAGTTCATAGCTGATGATGCTCCTAGGATGCAGGACCTCAATGGAGGAAGTTGGTCACTGAGGGCATGGCTTTGGATATCATTCTCTCTCTCCCTCTTCTTTTTTTCCTCTCTGCTTCCTGGCTGCCATAGGCTGACAGCTTTGCCCCACCGTGCCCATCCTCCATGAGCTTCCTGCCTTAGAGCCAGATGACCATGAACTGAACCCTCTGAAGCAGTGAGTCAAATAAACTCCTTTTTTAAGTTGTGAGTGTTGGTTACTCTGTGCCAGTGAAGGGAAAGTGAGTAATACAATGCCATCATCTGCATTGTAGCTGTCATTAACAACAGTTTAAACTTGGATATTTTAGATCTAATACTAATAGCTTCTATCTATGATAAATACAAACGATTATCTCCCTTATATACCTGAGAAAACTGATCAAAGAAGTGAGGGAATCTACCATAAAGCCATTCAACTAGTGAGCAGTAGAGCTAAGATTCTACATTTAATTATTTCTCCAATTTTTGTGGTTGTAGAGAAAACTGGACTTCAACTCTCCTTTGAATCAGTAGGTACACTGGGACTTGGTTCGGGCTACACTGAATGTCTTATTCTTGTGTAATCCAGAAAGATAAGCAAGCCTTTGACACTCAGATCACACCTGGCCTGGGACTCTGAATTTCCATGGATGGAAGTCTGGACATGTGGCTGCTATGTGGACCTTCCCCTGCTGGCCAAACCTGGCCACCAGTCTGTGTGGAGCACCGCTGGCTACAAACCAGTCTAGTCTGATCAGAGGAGACTATCTTGTTGACCATGAGGACTACACATTGAGGGTATGAATAACATGCTGAACGTAGCAAAGAGGAAAGGTGGAAAGACCTGGGGTCTGAGTATCTTGTTGAACTAGTGAATTACTTGACATCAATGCCACCCTAAATTGGGGCTTCCTCTATGTGAGACACAATGTCTTTATTGTTGAAACCATTTTGAGTCCAGTTTTCTAGCCCTTGCACTGGAAGGTGCCCTTGTTGATGGACGCTATTTGCTATTTCCATACACCACTGCTCCCTCTGCCTCTTTATCCCACAGCTACTCGGGCTTCTACCTTTATCAGCCATTTAAGCACATTAAAACTAGCTCAGTTTCACCCAGTCAGAAAAGCACAAGCTCATAAACACGGAAGACAAATGCTCCTCTATCTCCCTGTCAGCTTGCAGCCCAGGCATGAGATGCTTATTTCAGATTATGGTCTCAGACTAGATCTGGGAAAATCAGGCCGAATTTCCATTGAAGTGTAGCCCATGCAGCTCAGTGTGCAGCCTCACATGACAGTCTGGGGATGAAGAGCCACAGTGTATGGCTGCAAGAGACAGAAACTCATTTACAGTTCTTGAAGAGGCTGGGTGTCAGGGGAAAGAGTGCCCCCCAACATCTTAGTATCAGACACATGGAGATGATGCAGACCTGGTGTTTTCTCTGGTGTAGGGTTTTCTTACCTTTAAAGGATGAAGGCGTGTCTGAGCAAGGGACTTTGTTCTTACTCTTACTCATATGTGGAGGCTAAGAAAATTGGTCTCATAGGAGAAAAGATAAGAATGGGATCAGATAACAGGTACCAAAGAGCTGAGGAATCAGTTCTGGTGCTCTGCTGCAGAGCAGGGTGATTATCCTCTACAACATCCTAAAGTACATCTCAAAAAAGGAAGAAGAGTCTAAAGGTTCCTGACACGCAGAAATGATATACATTTGAGGAGGTAGACATACTCATTACCCTGACCCTGATTTGATCTTTGCATTGATTTGATGAATACACTAAATACATGTATTAAATTATTGTACTGCCCCCATAAATATGTAAAGATATGTGTCAATTAAAAAGCCCTAAAGAGTACAAGATGCTGCCCTGCCCTCCAACAAGGACAGGACAGATGTGCATTATACAGAGAAACTGCAACTCAGGGTCACATGTGAGTCGAAGGGTTTGGAGAAAGGCTACTGCTAGGGGTTGGGGTGAAGGATGCTGAAAGGATGTGATAACAGGCTGAGCTGGGACCTGGTGGGGAGATCTCTAAATGGGAAATAAGGCTTCCTAGTGTTTTAGATATTTTTCCCTTTTTGTATAGTAATGGTAACTTGTATAGAACTTTAGCAAGTAAAAAAGACCCCAGTGAATATTGTTTAAATTTATTATGTAAAATTTGTCACATCCCTAGGATGATAATGCCCCGGTATTATCATCCCTGTTTTACAGATGAGGAAACTGAGGCAATATGCCCAAGAGCCCTGGTAGCAGCTGTAGGCCAAGTCCTTGGGACTTCATGGCCAATCTTCTGCCACTGTTTAGGTGTGCTGATATCTAGCGAGGCCCCAGCCTCTCGCAGGCACAAGCTCATTGAAGAAGTGAGATACACTCCAATTACCCAGAGCACAAGAAGAATATCACCCCAGGAGGGTCCTCCCAACCCTGTCTGTCAGGTGACACGGTTGCCAGAGTAACACTCTACAGCATGAAGGTGGGCCACCATGCAATGGAGAACACAGTGGCTCACCCAGAGCACGAGAAGAATATCACCCCAGGAGGGTCCTCCCAACCCTGTCTGTCAGGTGACACGGTTGCCAGAGTTTAACTACTGGAGCCAGCACATCTTCTCAAGGGTAGAT